AACCATAATAATTTTGTTGCGGCAGCTATAGTTAATCCTAAGCTACAGCAATCAAAAATTTCATAAGATTTCTAGATGTATTTAGTATAGAGTATAAAATACCTCTTTAAAAAAAATATTATAACAATCCACTACAATTTTCAGATACTAACTTTAATAAAATATAGCGCCGGAACAGATATTAAAAAAGCAGAGGTCTTTTTCGATTTTTAACAGCTGCTCTACCTTGTTTGGTGCATTGAAAGTGCATTGGGAGTATGTCAAGTATAACCTGGGTTTGCATAAGGAGAGCATCTTCCTGAATATCAAATACAAAGTAAATTTCTAATTATATTATATAATTGAAAACTTTACATTGTATCCGATATGCAGAAAGATGCTCTCTTTATGCAAACCCAGGTTATACTTGATGTATTTCCAATGTACTTTTGACGCACCAAACAAGGTAGGGCAGCTATTAAAAATCGAAAAAGACCTTTGCTTATTAAAAATAAGGTATTTCTATTTGTTCATAATAATTAGCATAATTTATAAATATTCTTGTGAACATCTCATATTAAATACTTAGACCAATTAGACCAATAAATAATCACCAACCTTAGACTAAGGGTGCTCTAAATGTGATTGGATAGTATTCTGTAAATGAAGTGATCCTTACTGTAATTTTGCTAAAGTCAGACAAATAAGATAGCTTAAAACTTTTTTTTTATTGTGATAATGAATCTACTTATTGGTTAAACTAGTTTCTAAGTTCTGACCTATAATAATGATTTATATGCTTGAGAGAACCTTAAATCATATGAATAAAAATTGAAACAAGAAATTAATTACATATATTGATTAAAAATGTTTGATTAAATAAAAAAATACTTAATTAAAATAATATATATAAAAACCTAACATTATATATATAAACTTTTGAGCCTATGTACTAATAGCATACCGAAGATAAATTTCCTAAATTATCGATCTTAATAAGTAAAAAGTCTAGAAATCTCAATCTTTTCGCATAAAAACAATAAGCAAAAAACAATACCTTCAATGAATTAGTTAACCTTTTATATTAAAATATAACTTACAGCAACTGCACCTGTGCAACATATATCTTGTGTGTAGAAATCATCCGGGGCTATCAAAAGTGCTATTATAGCTACTTGATAAAAATTAGCCGAATAATTGTTTAGCCAATTCAGTTAAGTTATAGATTTCAGATTCAGTAACAGATATATTAGATACGTAATTTAATAAGATGAGATGACCAATAATATTACAATAATCAACATGTACTTGTAAGTTATAAATTTTAATTCTTATTCTTTGGCACAATTCATTTTCGCTCAAACAAAGCCTTTAATCATTTCTAAAATTTCAACAAAAATTTGGTTTTAAAAAAAGACGCTTTCTATTTGTACACGGGGTGTTTAAATATAGATCGACAAATATATTAATTTAGTATAGTGTCTAAACACGGATCAACAAATATATTAATTTAGTATAGTGTCTAAACACTAAACCGATAAATTTATTAAATTTTTTATAAAAAATAGAGTTTGAACCGGTTTATATTAATCTTGATTAGAACCGATTTTAATATAAACCAGTTCCAGGACAATTTATCAGTTCTTATAGACTTTGTGCCATGTAATCTAAATTGCCAAGATCCTAATATCGCATTTTATGTGTATTAGCATACGATAATCAATTTAGTTGGATCATGTTGCTATAGGTAAAGATTGGATCCAGTTTTACTTTTTTTATCTAAGCTCAGCTTTAATAGCTATAGATGAAAAATAAAACTGGTTCTAATCTTTAGCTAAAAGACTCTCTAATCCCACTAACACTAATGTTAAACCAAACACTAACTAAAACACCAACCTAATACAAAATGTACTCTGCCCGAATACTTGCTATACGTTAAATAAGGTTATACAAGTTAGCACGATCTAATTACATATATATTATTAAACAAATTTAATAGCTCAAATGATTTAAATCAGAGAATTATCAATGATTTAAATCATTTGAATTATTAAATTGAAGCTATTCTCAAGCACTACTTAATAAAAGTTAACTTGTGCAAGCGTTTTAAGTAAACTGGACTAGTTTAATCTTACTCTGAGCCACTAAGGTATATCTAGATTTGGTATAAACTGTATTCACTTGAAACAGTGAAATATTAACACTCCAACTGGTTTACTTTGACAATTAGTTTACTAATGCTAATATGGTACATTTCAAAATAACAATTACAATTAATCTGTATACTTCAGTTTTTTTAATATAATCACAGTCAATTTTCGGTCAATTAGACATTCATAAAATGAAATACTTGAGAACAGCTGAATTAGTTCAAAATGAATTGAAGTTTTATTATAGAAGCTTCAATTGTATCAAATAATTCTAAAATCTAATACAGTATTGATGGTCACATGTTTTGGCAGTTACATGTTTTGGCATAATGGCCATACTCTTTACATTTTCCGCATTTTACGACCCTTATTATTACTTACAACTTCTTTGATACTCGAACCTATTCCAAAATCTTTGTTAATTATATTGAGCGATATATTATCTTTTAGCTGGCACTTACTCTTACTTGATGTTTCTTCTACGCTTGATTTAAGTCTTTTAGAGGGGCGTCCCTTATGCTTTGTAATAATTGGGTTGTTGACATTCTTATAATTTTCGTAGTCTTCATCACTCTCATCACTCATGTCACTTGTTATTCTTATTACTTTCGTCATCCTCATTATACTTTTGACTAGCAATTATTTTATTTTGTGCTTCATGAACAAAAGTATTAAGAATGCCTAATAATTTTTCACTTAGTTCAGCCTTAAGTGCAAGATCAATCACCTTTTTGGACAACCCAAATAACTTTGCATATCTTGCTTTAATTGGTTTAGTTGTTGCTTTACCATTACTATTACAATTTTGCCTAATTGAAGTTAGGTGCTCTAGTGTTACTTGCAGTGCAACATCAGATGTTTCTTGTCGCTCAGATATAGAAATAGATGCTGCAGGTACTTGTTAAAATAGATCACTTGAGGTAATGTTTGGTTCCAAGTACTGTACCAACGATTCGGAATAAAGGCTATATGAAATATAGCTAATGGAGAATATGTACCAACATGAAAAAAGTGTCAGCAAATTAATCCTTTGTTCATTAAAAGAAGACAGGTACACAAGTATATACCATCATTAAGTAATATAATATAATGCCCATGTCCAGAAGTTCCCATATAACGCATATGCCAAACTTGAAGAATCATCTCATGCAGAATATTTTGGATCAATGATATAAATAGGATTTGGCATGTTTCATATTTTTGTTCTCTAACCCAAAGCCCAACATTACTGTTATTTGTATGGCCCTATTAGAATAACATATTAAAACGGTATAACTTTAGATTACTAAAAAAAAAAAATAACCAATATTTACTTCAATTAATTCATTCCATTTTTCAATGCATACAACATCACAACAAATACTCATATTCATTTAATCTCTTTGTTTTAAAGTTTCGTCAACCTTTGGAAAAAACTAATTACTTAACAATGGTAATCCAATTGTTGGAAGTATATTGCGCTGAATTTCAAAATTCATTAAATATTCTTCTTGATTGACATAATTATTTAAACTAGTAAGTAAACTACACAAAGAAGTTGTGCGATCAACTTTCTGATGAACATGCATATTGATAGATTCGATTCGTTGAGTGCTTTGTACACTTGCTGTAAATATTTTACTGATCCAGGGTGTTGCCCATGATTCTTTACTACAATAAAGAGTGTTTAAATAATTTGCAGCAATTGGATAATCATTTAAAAGGTTTATCTATCGGTTTTCAAAAAGATCTTTACATAAACTATTACGACAAATATAAAAATCTAAATGAAATGCTTCGAATTGAGAACCTAATTTGCGTCTTAAATTTTTTTTGAGATTCAAGTTTATGTGAAATATACACAAAATATGGTTGGTAAGAGGATATATATTTTTAATTGAACTTATTATAGCAGGATTGCTATCTGTAAATATTGTTGTTGGAATAATTCCAGTTTCTTCTAATAATTCCTTAAAAATCCACTGAAACGTATCTAATGTTTTATCTTCAATTATGCTACATGCTACAATTCGTGTCTTAAAATGATTATCAACTACGGTAATAATAAAAAGTATTAATCGGAAACGATTTGTGTTCGCAGTAGTATCTATTATTACTATATCATGAAATGCCTCATATAAATTTCTTTGGGATGGTGACATCCAGAATAGCAAAACTAATCTTCTAGATATAGGTTCTAGGCGCGGCTTTACAATCCATAATGGGTCTTCTTCTTTCTATTTCAATAATGTCTGAAGTATTAATGATGCATCTGAGTCTCCTGGATTATTTTGTCATCTAAAAGCATATACAGCATTGTATAAATCACGCTTGTATAAGGGATGTTCAGGATAATCATGTTTAAGTAAAGGGTATATTGACCCTGAATCCATTCTTCCTCGAACTATATATTTTTCAATATCAGCTAGCATTTCAGAAGTTAACTTTCGAAACCGAGAGGCGATCTCTTTAATCATGGGAGTAAGTGGATGATTGTACTGATTTTTAAATGAATTGATTTTTACTATAGACTTTGTTTTAGGATATGCAACATTTAATTCCTACAAGCACCCTGTTCGCTAAGATACATTGTTACGTCGTTTATTTGGATCAGCAGTTGTTTTGGATTTGTGTGTACCAGCTTTTGCACACACATACTTAGCCTGCCTAATTACTTTCTCATCTTTTTTGCTAGTTCTAATCTTGTAGTCAAAACCTTCTTGCAACACAAATTGATTCAACCAATTCTTAAACAATTGCCAATTAGGAAATGAAAGCCCCGACTCTAATTCAAAACTAATTTATCTTCCTGAAACTTTTCATCTGACACACCATATAAATCAGTCATTTCATTATATATTTTGTCTTCATTATTTCCTAAAGGCAAGGCATCTAAAAATAGTCACGTGATTCTTGAATATCTTGCTCCTGGTAAGTATCAAAGCCATTATGAAAAAATTGGGCATTAGAAGTATCATAGGTGTTTTGCAGATTGTGGTCTTGAATATATGTAGATTGAACGTTGCCGAAGACAGAATAGTGGATGCTTTGAAGCTGGTCACATGCTTCTGGAACTTCATAATTGTCAAGATAACAATAAGGATTTTGAAAAAATTGGATATATGAATTATTGTAAGTATCTTGTGAGTTGTTAGAAATTTGATTGTCTTGATTATATTCGAAATTGTGAACATTTTGAAGAACGCCAAAATATCGGAAGTTTTGAAGGTCGTAAGTATGATACAAGAATTGGTCACAGAAATCATTAGCGTCTTGAAGATCATTCCGATTTGTAATAGTAAAGTCACTTATTTTAAAAATTAAAGATATTGTGTTTATGACGGAAAGATAAGGTACAAAGCCACAATAGTATGAAAGGTTTAAAATTAAATGAGTTCGCTATTAATAAATATCGTTATATGCGTAATTATGAGCCAATTAACAAAATTTACCAAAGTATTACGTTATCCGGGTATCAAACACTGTATTACAATCATCGATCATGTTTTTTATATACACGTGATATGGGTGCTAAACACCCCATGTACAATTAGTTTTATTCTTAAAAAAATTGTATAAAATTTCAATTCCTATTCTTTAGCAAGATCTATTTTCATTCAAACGAGGCCTTTATTCATTTCTTGTTAAAGACAAAAAATTAATTGTGTAAATTTCAACTCCATTCTTTGGCAAGATCCATTTTCATTCAAACAAAGCCTTTATTTATTTCTAATTATTTTCAACGAAAATTCATTTTTAAAAATTTGCAAAATTTCAATTCTGATTTTTTGGCAAAATCTATTTTCGTTTAAGATAAATGAAGACTATTATTTTCAACGAAAATTCGTTTTTAAAAAATTAAATTAAATTTTGATTCCTATTCTTTGGCAAAATCCATTTTCGTTTAAATGAAGGCATTTATTTATTTCTAATTATTTTTCGATTTATTATTAAAAAATTTAAGATATTTCTAGAAATGATATTTACAAAGCACCTTCACTGAAAAAAATTTAGAAGGCTTATAGTTCAACAAAATGCCAAACACTTAGCAAGTCTTCTAAACTATCTGCTTCAGATAGGCAATCTTTAATTCTTAAATCCACTTCGATACTTTCATTTAATTTTGAATTCTATTTTTGAACTAATTTTAATTATTAGTATTCAATATATAAATAAATATCAACATAAAATTTTTTACTTTGATAATCCTTCATGCATTCTTGACAAATATTAATAATATCTTGGTCGCTTGAAATCCTAACCTGAGATTTATTTTTAAACCAGTCGACAAATTCATGATCATATTTAACTTTAATAGCAGTACCTGTTCGTGTAATATATTTGTATAAAGTCTAATTTATATTCGGTCTCTTTTTTAAATTTCTTGCTAAGGTTTATTGGTTGACACAAGCAGTCTTTTCTATAAATTTTTGTGCAAACTAAACATACCAAGCATGTTGGACAAGCATTGGAATAAAAATTCTTATTGTATATAATTTTTTAATTGAATATTCGTGGATATTTCCGAATTTTACCTGCATATAATTATATGATATTCAATGAATACCTGTGAATCTTTTATGAATATTTATATAAAATCTGAATATTTATTTAATATCATTTACAGATGACTAAAATTCGTAAATATTCATTGAATAGCCATGATGGATATTCAAAGGATTCAACCTCTACATAAGGGAATCACTCATTTCATCTCCTATTTCAAAATCGAAATGGGCCATTTTGTACCTCCACTTATTTTCGAAATAAGTTAATTACCTAATCTGTGTATTTATGAATTTTATTGAATCTACGTATTGTGCCAAAATCACAAACTTAATCAAATTGGCCGAAAAATTATTCGGCCAATTTTTATCAAGTGTTCCAGGAATTATGAAACAACCAATCAAAATAAACTTCCACTATGCTGATGTACCCGAGTAAATTAATTAAATACTCTTACTTTAGATTGTCAAATCGAACTTTTAATATAGTAAAACTCTTTTTTAGGCCTAAATTTTATAACTTTCAAATAAAATATATATATATAGTATTGTGAAATAGAATATATCAAATCTATCTATGTCACTTTGCCAAAAACTTTTGCCACTTATGAGTCACAAGTCGAAGCTATAATAGCCAAATGTGAAATAAGCAATGTTCAATCGTCTAAAAGTGATATTAAAATTAGGATTTATTAATTTTGTGCATCCTGCATAGCTGTGCACCCCTTCAAACCTAATAATAAGATTAGTTGAGGGGCTAGAGTTAGGGTTAGGGTTAGGGTTTAGATTAGAGTTAGGTAAAATTGCAAGAGAAGTATTTTTACTTAGTTACACGACAGAGGGTTACCCTAGTAAAATTTTGAGATATAGCAGATTTTAAGTAAAGTTACAATTAGTTAGGGTTAGGGTTAGGGTTAGGGTTAAGGTTAGGGTTAGGTAAAATTGTGTAACAATCATTTTTGTTAGTTACATGACAGGGTTACCCTAGTAAAATTTTGAGATACAGCTAGGGTGCATAGCTGTGCATGTGCACAAAATTAATAAACTCTTAAAATTAGGTCAGTATTTTAAATTTTAATTGATACCAATTAAGAATTTATTTAATACCTATGTAGCAACGAAGATCTAATAAGCATATTAATCTATTGAAAAGTTTTCAACTTATTATTAGTAATGTTAACAATAATAGCCAACTTCTTGCCATTCAAAAAGGATATGAAAATCAGAATCTCTATCAATAGACAAGTTAGCATCTTATCTATTTCATCAAATTTAATACAGTCAATGAATATTCAGAAAAAAAATATCGATCAATTTGAAATGAAGGGCATAAAGAATTATCAATTGCAAAAAGAGTATATAAATTATCAAAGAATGTTACAAAAAACAAACCAAATAGTTAAAAAGAATTAAATTATTATAATGTCAAAATTCAAGTTTATATGTATTATTCTGTACTCTCATTAAAAAAAAAGAAAAAAAATGGTATTTTCTTTGAATTAATATTCATAATAGAGATTAGTATTTGAAATTACATGTATGCCAGAAAAATAAACCTAGTTATTTTTTCTGGACAATGCTAGAGTTGTTATAGACCAGTTGAAATAGTCTTATCAAAAAGCCATAATACTCATGGAATAACACAAATAATGAATTAAAAGATACTAGCACAAATAAATTTGTAATATCACAAAGTAAGCACCAGGCAATTTTTCACTTGAACTGATATGTATAATATAATATAGAATACTCCCTTTAAACTCCAGATATTCAATTCAGGTATGTTATTATTCTTACCTGGCAGTGTTAGAGATCTGAAACTTTTTTTTTTGTTCTCTGAGAACATAAATTTTAAATTTTAGGTTCTTAGAAAAATTTTTAATGTTCTTAAAAGTTTTTAGATATAATACAATTTACAAATTTTATGTTCTCAAATGAGAACATAATTTTTAAAATTTGTGTTCTCAAAAATATTTTAATGTTCTTGAGAACACCGAGAACATTAGATATCTAACACTGGTACCCGGGTATTATCCAGGTACTATCCGGGTATTATTATCCGGGTATTTTATCTGATATTATCCAGGTAGCTGAGTTTACAACCCAGATATTTGACTATCTGCAGATAACCCGGGTAATATCCTACCTGGGTATCATCACTACACGGCTAAGCCTAATGCAGAATGGTTAACTAATTATAACAAAATTAATATTTGGACAATTTAACTTAGAACATAGTCAATTTCGATTTTAACCTGAATTTGGTAATTTTGGTTATGAAACTAACCTATTCTCTAGCCAGTCACTATTAGCTACTTAGCCAGCTGACTAAAATCATGCAGTTTAAATCACTAAATCGTCTAATAGATGATTGTTTTTTATATAATAATAACTTTGCAGATCCTTATATTCGCACCTTTAACCCAAGTATCTTGGGATTTACCAAGCCAATTTGGATGATTTAACTACTATTGAGATCCTAAAAACCTTTTCTACAAGTTTTCTTAAAACCAGAAGAGACCTTTACTTAGTAAAACTTCTTAAGAATTGCTTTAGTCAATTATATTATTGTATTAAATAAGTCAGTCATTTGACTTAAAGAATATAGAGAAGAATTGAACAACTTTAGCTTAAAGTCTTTTTAAAACTACTTGGTATCACAGGTTGAAATCAAAAATATCTTCCCTGTATCTTAAAATAATTGGCCTAGGTGATAGAAGGGTGATATTGTGATGGCTATGAACCAATATGATAGGGTATTAAAAAAGCTGATATGCTGAAGATTATGGTAAAATTGGATGCATATACGGAAATTAACATTCGCATAT